ATATGAAGTTTTGCTGATTGAATTGAAGAAGCTGTTAAATCCTAGTGGAAACTGGCTCTTTATCTCGATACGAATAATCAAAACAATTGAAACAGAATAGTTTCAGCAGCAAAACGGATATTTCCATCAGAATTCGAAATCACCATAGCAATTATACTAAAACAATCATTCGCGTCAAGCTCAGCGAATAATATTCAACAATATTCACCTCACCCTCGCCGAATAACTGCGAATTATTGCCTTTTTTTGTTGTTGCGATAATGATGGTAAACCACAACCTAGTTTACGATATAATGATGATAATGATCATCAACATTATTAGATTCTCTATTATGATTTGTAGTGTTATCATCATTATTATTATTCCCATTATTAGGATTACATTAACTACATAGCTGTTTCCCTTTACCTCTAGCATACGACCACTTCTTTACGTGCTGGAAGAACAGCTTTAAGTATTTTGCATCCTCGTCACAAAGTGGTAAGCAATAATTATAACCTTTCCGAGAAATCAGCTCATTTTACATCTACGGTACAGCGGTTTCATTAAAAGCCAGTTACCAGCGATCAACCGATGCCTATAAGATATCTTACCGCCGTCTATTTATGGTGCGAGCGAGCTGTCCACCTAACGGCACATCCGCCCATTACATTATCGAAAGCCATTTATGGAAAAAGTTATTGGAACACCTGACTACTAACCTTTTTTAAACTGTACTTCTATGCTGCCCAGCCAGAATGAATAAAAGAAAAACTGTTTTAACTATTTTCGTAACATTTTGAAGAGAACGACTGGGGAGAGATCTGAAATCTAAAACAGAACTTGATGTTTGATGGAAGGAGAGGTTTAACCAGAAGGGGGATATTGTAATGAGTAAAGTTACTGTCATAATCAAAGGGAATTTCCATCAGGTTGGAAGGGTTTTAAAAGACTGCTCAGTTCAATGGCGAGTTGAATGTCCTATTGTTAAAAATTTCTGTGAAAGTAAAGAAAGAAATTCAAGTAGACTAGAAATATTCAAATAATTGTTGAAAGAAAAGAACAATTATGAAAAAGACAATGGAAAAGTCTGTCTTCAAAATAGCTGAATTGTCAACAGTTTTGTAAAATCATACTGCTTTTAAATGAGTATCTGTTTTTTATCCTCATGTTTTTCTTGCGTTACTTACTTGTCTGTTTATTTATTTTCCCATTTTTCTTCAATTTACCTCTTACCTCTTTTTTTTATAAGTAAGGAATATGATAACTAGTGCTGTTATGCTTTATGAACCTGTGTGTCGTACTTAATTGGAATAAATAATGAGATAATTAATGAGAACATATAAAAATACGACTGCTTTGAGTATGTAAATTTATATAGAACTTGAATGAGGTAGTACTAACCTGGCAGGTCTGTTATTGTTTATTTTATTTTAACCTCTCTGTTATTTTTGTATTTTGTTTGGGTAAAATACAGAGATACTAAAGACAAGTTCTAAACCATCTCACAAGGCGAATGACGGTAAATCAGTGAAAAGTAGGAAGCAGGAGAGCAAGGAGGTTACTGATGACGAGGGTATTTTTCAATTGGATGACTTGGATCCTCTGACCAAACAGATGCACTCTCTGGATGTTTCTAGGAACGACTGTGAAGATGGTGGTTTGTCTCAAAGACAAACTAAAACGAATGGTGCTAGCTTGAAAAGCAAGGATCAAATTGAGACAGAAATTGAAGTTGAAGTAAGTTTGAGTGGATCTGAAGAGGAAGAACACAGAGACTCCAAAACTGACTCAAAGGAGCAAGCGTGTAGGTCTTCAGGAAAAACCAGCGACGTGGGTGTTACTCAGCTGAATGTTGTTTATAGATTTGATGCCAAAGTTTTCCAAGGAAACAGTAAACCAGTTAAAACCTGTTGCTTTTGCAAAGAGGATGGTCACGTGAAGGATCAGTGCCCAGATTTGCGGAAGCCGCCTCTGATAGTACTGCCGCCAATGACGCCAACGTTTGCTAAAGTGCTAGATTTTGTCTGCCAGACTTGTAGACGTGAGTACTTCCAACAAAGCTCTTTGTTAATCCTTCGTCATGTACCTTTGTTACCATGCCCGTAAGTGCAGTTGTATAAAACATCAGGGAAGATACAAAACTGATCAGTTTTTGGTTTCCAGGCACTCGGCAATTCTTCATTCGAGTTTTGCCTTTGTTAGTTAGTGTGACACTAAGCTTTCTCAAACATTTTAAACTTTCTTGAAGTGACCTGTAAATCATTCGGAAGTCTATCTAAAGGACAAGAACAGAAACTAAACCTGTTTATGTACATGTTATGACTGTTCAAACCATATCTTCTAAATGTTCCCGTTCATATGATTTTTCCGACAAGTGTGTTTGCATTTACAGTGTACTTTGGTAAATTTTGTTTCACAGTCAACTCAATAGTCCAGTAATTGCAGACTTCTATATTTACAGGCGATTTTGAATTTGAAAAATCAGAAGTTTCATACCGAGAGAAGGTGTTGAAGAATCTGGAACAGTACATCCGTGAGCAGTATCCAGGTAAGCCATCTATCTATTTATATAATTTATTTATTAGCGAACTTTAAACAGGGTAGCTCAATTCAGCTTTAAAGCTGTCTTCAATGGGGGCCGGTATAAGTATAGGTAATAACATGATCACGAACGCAATTTAGTTTTATTAAGAACGAGTTAATTTTTTAAAGACAACAAAACTGCACGAGCCTTTAGGGCGAGTGTAATTTCTTGTCTTTGGAAATTTTTACAAGTGCTTGTTTACATCAAGTTGCACGAGAAATCGTGTTGTTACTCGTTCATAATTTACCTGAAAAACGCGTCCCAGAAAGTCAAAACGGACGATATTTTTTCAGCGTGCCCTATTTGTATTTTGCTCTTGTGCTACAACTTTGCACTCGTGTTACATAAATATTGCACTTGTTACAATTTAATTAACAATTTAACAAGGCTCGATCACAACGTCGGAGCTACTCTCCCAGCTCTTGGCAAAGAGTGCGTAGATTCTTTAACATCCCTTGCTAACTTGTACAAAGGCGATGCAGGAGACGGGACTTACGGTTTGTCGTCCTTATTCGAGAAGACTAGAATCTCTAACCATTTGTGGATGTCATAGCAAAAGCAGCGCGATCTCCTCGATAGCTTAGGACTCCGAATGTTGGTCCGGTTTGGGGTTTGAATCCTTGACCTCCCGCACGGCAGACCGGTTGTTTTGTTTGAATTACTGCGATATTGTTTATGTTAAGCTGCTGTTGTCTTTTTCCGTAGGCGCACGACTGTTTCTCTTTGGTTCCTCCAAAAATGGCTTTGGGTTTCGTAATAGTGACATTGATATTTGCATGACGCTGGAAAACCGTGTCAAAGAAGAATTGGATTGTGTGGAGATCATCACTAACCTTGCAAGGCTTCTCAAGAAACACAAAGACTGTAACAATGTACTGCCTATCACCACAGCAAAGGTTCCCATTGTGAAGTTCTTCCTTCGCAGTTGTAAGCGTGAGGCTGATATAAGCTTATATAACACACTTGCATTGGAGAACACAAAGATGCTTGCTACCTACGCTAAGCTGGATGATCGTGTTGCTACTCTTGGCTATGCTGTAAAGGTATTTGCCAAGGTATGTGAGTTTATGTAAGTTTGTACAAGATGATTAACCATCAGTTCGTGATCTAATTTCTCCCCTCAATATCACTCCTGAATCAAACATGAGGTAACGAGAATAAAGGAAATGATCACTAACTAAAGATGTGAACCTGTTACCTTAACCCTTTGATCTTCAAGAGTGACCAGCATCTAATTTCTCCTTACAATAAAAGTAAGCTTTCTAGTAACTGAATTTGGTTTCTTTGAGTGCTTTGGTTTGGTTTTGGTTTTGGTTTCATGTAGTCAAGTTAAGGGGTTAATTGGGAAGGATCAATCTCTTTAACTCCAAATTCGTTCACTATATTCGCCCATTGGGTTTAAATGCCTCATAAACATGCCTTGTCCCTAGTCATTTGCTGCTAAATCTTAGGTTTAGTCCGAAGTTTGTAAAATTAATAATGTTTAAGTGTACCTGTGCTTTCTGTCTCATTCCCCGTCAGGTGTGTGACATCGGAGACGCTTCAAAGGGCAGCCTGTCATCCTACGCCTATATACTCATGCTTCTTCATTATCTGCAACAGTGCAATCCTCCAGTCATTCCAGTGCTACAGGCCTTGCACAAGGGTGACAAACCGCCCGAGAAGTTCATTGATGGCTGGAATTGCTGGTTTCTGAGTGACGAGAAGAAAATTGTATGTGGTAGTACTTCTTCTCTGTACAGCAAGGGGGGAGGGGAATAGTGGCACCCGGTGGCACCCATTCAGCTTTGAAAATTCCTCGCAACGCAACCTTGTTTAAGTAATAATTAATGATAGGAATAAACTGCCTGTCATCACCTGTGTGTGCTTTCGTAGACATCGTTAAAAATAAGTGCATGGTGTTGTATAAAGATCTACTTGAATCTATTGTTCGTGTTTTTTCTTACTCTCAGGGAAGTGCCTGGAACCCAAAGGAGAGGAACAATTTCAGTGTGGGTGTCCTGTGGTATGGCTTTCTAAGATATTATACTGAAGAATTTGACTTCGAACACGACGTGGTTTGTTGCAGAAGAACAAAAAAGCTGACCAAATTTGAAAAAATGTGGACCAAACACGTGTTCGCAATTGAGGGTAAGGTGTTACTATTCTTTATTGCCTTACTTGAAAACACGTTCGAAGACACAGCACGTTCGATTGTATGACCAACAAATTTTGCAGCTTCTTCATAAGATTGAATTAAATTTAAAAGTACCCGTACCAACACAAGCAAACTTCCCGCATTTTGTAGTAGTGTAGTTTGATCGTCCGGGCGAGTGTAGTCCTGAGAAGGACTGTTGTCGGTATTGGTAACTGACGTTTCGACAACCTGAGCGGAAGTCATCATTAGAGTCAAGTGAAAGGTTGTTGTCAGTCGAATGTACTTAGTCCGGTTTGTGTAAACCTTCTTGGTCAGTTTTTCCGTGATGTTATCGCCTGTAAGACTCAAGTGGCGTAGGTCAGTCGTGATTGGTCGGTTTCGATCCGTTAGTGAAGTTAGGTCGTTCTTTTCGGTTCTTTTGTAATTTTAATGTCGTGAATGAGTCTATTGTAAAATATATTCTAAATGTATTCTAAAACTTTTCCCCTGCGCTAAAAGAACTCTAATTTACAATTTACGCCAGAACTCTGAAGGAGCTAAGTAATTGAATGTGAAAAAATCCCGCAACTGTCAGTTATGGAATTAGCTTGCATTGGGCGCTCTATTGAGCTTTGTTATTGGTGACTTCTGTTATTGGCAATTTTTTTTTGTACTTTACTAGTTATTTCTGTCCGATTCGACGAGAGTTTTACTTCACTCCCTACTTAATTTGCAGACCCTTTCAATCTGGACCACAACTTGGGTGCGGGCGTGACAAAGAAGATGGCCAACTATATCCTGACCACCTTTATCAGAGGACGTGAACGCTTTGGAATTCCACGATATGATATACCCAGAGATTTCATTCAGCGGTACTTCTTTGATGTTTACTTTCTTACAGATGGCTTTGAAGCTCCAAGTGACAGGAATTGCCGCGTTTGTAATAAAATAGGCCATATTGCAAGAGATTGCCCTCTTTCTAAGGTCAATCGACGTGCAGAGCAAAGGAAGGAAGAGGAAGAAAGGAAATTGGGTAAAGAAGCTGGCGAAAAAATAGGCGTGAAACAGAAGCCTTTTAGCGCAGGACCTTCACGTCCAAGATCTACTTCTGCACCAAGCAAACAGGGACAAAACAAGAATGTTGACGATAGTATTCGTCTGTCAACAGCACTGTCTCAACAAGGTGCTAATGCTTCGGATGTAACATCTCTCTCAAAATCTCAACCAAATACACAAGATCTTTCGTCTCCTCCAGAGGGGAGAGGGGAGGGGAGAGAGGTCGCTGATAAGCAATCCGAGATTCCAAATATGAAAGCACGTGACCAGACCTCTCTGCAGGGCTCGCCCAGTGCGCATTCAGCCTGTGGTACTCAAGAGACTTTGGTGGAGTCAAAAGAAAACATATCTCAACCCATACCGGCAGGCTACGTCTCTGATGTTAAGAATGAGAAAGGTAACGAAGGTAGAAATGTAAATGACTCGGAGGGCATCATACCAGCTGCGGTTTTACCAGGTTCAAAGGAAGAGGATTTTACTGAGGCATCTGCAACGCCACGAGTGCAGACTTCTTCATCAGTGCAATCCAGTCACTCTGGAGAAATGGAACCTCCTCCCGGCTTCCACGGCACCGGCAGGATGTCTCAGGTGTCCGATGAAGGATCTCCACAGTTGTTACCTGATGGTCTCCCACAGTCCCCTCCTGTAAATGCTCCATCACCTAATATGTTACAAGGTCAGGCTATCGTTATGGGTACTCCACCACGGCATCCAGTAGGCATGCTCCACCCCCAAATTGCTCCGTTTGTATTTTCTCCCAGTCAACATGACATGTGGCTGAGGCAACATGGTGGGATCATGCAAATTCCCCATAGTCCACCTGTGAGGCCACTTGTTCCTTATCCTTTGTCACCTGAAGTTCAAGGTGTTCAACAACCAACGCAGCAGTGGAGTGGTCCTGTAGAAAACTTTCCAATGGATCATTCCGGCTCCCCTTTTCGGGGATTCCATCGTGTTTGGGAGCACAACCAACGATTACTTGCACAGAGCCCTCCAATTATTTCAAGAACTGTTAATAGGCCATTGGGACCAAACAGCCCTCCCCTTAATGCGACCAGTTATGAAGATCCAGCTATGGTAGAAGGGCAGCAGTTCGCCTCGCCTCCAGGAAGACATCCTGCTTTCCCAGAAGGCATTTCTCCCAGTATCACTCCACAGCAGGCCCAGTTTCCTCCTGGTATCCCTCTACAACACGCCCAATTTCTGCCCAGCACTCATCCACAGCAAACCCATTTTCCTGTTGGTTCTCCTACACAGCAGACTCAATTTATTCCTGGTAATCATCCACAGCGACCCCCCTTCCCCGTGGGTTCTCCTCCACAACAGACTCGATTGCTTCCCAGCACTCCTCCTCAGCAAACTCCCTTTCCGGTTGGTTCTAATCCACAGCACACCCAATTTCATCATGGTGTTTCTCCACGGCCCCCTGTTACTCCACCACAGAGTATACCACAGCCGCAAGGAAACCGTTTACAGCATGCCATCGGAACACACATGGTCAGTGCACCATATTGGCCATACCGGTTCTATTACCATTAGTTGTAAGATTACTGTATTTTTCAACACATAGATAAAATAACCGTTGTTTAGTCAGCTTTTTTGATCATGGTGGAGAGATTCTCCAGCAAAGTTCAGTTGCTTTTTGTAGGCTACATGATTTTATGTCCACATATCATAGACAACCAGTATAGATGCTTGCAGAGACTTCTTCTTGGAACCAAAACCCAAGCTGTTGGAATTAATGCCCATAGTTGCCATCATGTCTTGGTAACTTGAGGACGAGTTCAAGTTTTCATGCAGTTCTTTTCTGTCTCTGTTGGTGGTGGTTGTTGTTTCACTACTCTATTTGTCTTTAATTGTCGAGAACTGTATGGTTAATGTGGTGTACTGGATGTTTAGACAGGAGAACAGTTCATCGGCCTCTTCCGGGCCGCTGAAGTAGAGGAAAAGAAGGAAGACATTCTCCCTACGAATCCCCCTGCAAATGATGAGTTTCAGGTATGTACTTAGTGATCTTACTTGTTGCTTCGAGATTCTTTGTTCTGACTTCAAATGATTTGTAGACTTCTCTGAAAATATATTACATTCCATTGTGATTCGCATCGAGTAATGCCTCTATAACTGCAAAACGATTGCAAATTGCTTTTTTGGATCTTTTCCATGTTCATTTAGGGTTAAGTCGGATTTTGGTTGTGATTTACACTTTTGCGTTCGATAGTTTGCGAAAAAATTGTGAGAAACGTCTTGATTGGACGTTCTAGTGGCAAATAAGTAGCTTTAGGCTTCACAAGTCTCAGTTCACAACGTATTTAAAGGTGGCGGCAGTGCGGGTTGAAGATCCTTATTGATCTCTACTTCCGTAGCCTATTATATTCGTGCAATTATCACCTCCCCCTCTCTTATATTTCTAACACATATTTCCCATTTTATGTCAGTCTAAGGAACTACATATTGCTCCAAAGAATTTGAAAGCCGCCAATACCCCAGAAGAACATAAGTTGCTATCCGATCTGAACAAAGTGAAGAGCCTATGGGAAGGCAATGCTGCAGCTGAATTGCAAAGCAGTAGCTCTGGTCCAGAAATAGTCAAGGAATTGAATCCCAATGGGCATACTGAAGTTCAAGATTCAAATGATGCGGTTCCTCCTCTCCAAGACACCGAGGCAATGATAAAAGACGAAATATGTTCAACTGTTAAAGAGAACTCGATTAAAAAAGAGGATGAAGGAATGACAGTGGATGTAGTCAAAACTAAGGAAAGCGTTTTGGAAAAGCGATTTGTACCGGCTCCGTCGACTCAAGGACATGATGTAGTGGTTTCGAGAAAGGTGAACATGGAGGAACAAGATTCATCTACCTATGAGGTGACTTTAAAAGATAAATCGGAGGCAAATACGCCTGTAGTAGACAATGGAGAGCGAAAGAGAGCTGAGGAACAAGAACAGAACATTGCAGCTTCCGTTGCGCTAGAAGAAGCTCCCAGAAAAAAGAACAAAAAGCGGGGCGGTCGTGGAAGGAAGGCTAAGACACCAAGACAAAACGAAGCTACAGAGAGTTCTCCAAACAAGCAAGAGAAAACCGTAGATGATGGCACAAAAGAAACAAAGAGTACTCAAGGGCAAAATCAACGCCAGAAAAATCGCGTCGAATCCAAAGTTGACGCTTCAAAGGCTCCTCCTTCATCTTCACCCAAAAGGCCTGGACCTGAACGCTCCGAAGAAAAACCGAATGAATGCTCTAGAGAAAGTCCTGGCCATGGTGCCGAGTCAGATAAAAGTTCTACCCCCAAAAGGCCAGGATCTGAACGCTCCAAAGTAAAACCGACTGACTCTTCAAGAGACACTTCACGCCGAGGTGCCGATTCAAATCAAATTTCGACGCCTATAAAGCCTAGACCTGAACGCTCCGAAGAAAAACCGACTCAATCTTCAAAGGACCCTTCTCCCCGTGCTGCTGAATCAAATAAAAGTTCTACACCCAAAAAGCCTGGATCTGAGCGCTCCGAAGTGAAACCGAGTGAATCTTTAAAGAACAGCCCTCGCCAGGGTGCCGAGTCAAATAAAAGTTCTGCACCCAAGAAGTCTGGACCTGAGTGCTCCGAATCGAAACCTTCTGAATCTTCAAAAGACACTTATCGCCATGGTGCTGAGTCAAATCAAATGTCCATGTCTAAAAAACCTAGATCTGAACGCTCCGAAGAAAAACCGAGTGCATCCTCTAGGGATGGTTCTCGCCGTGGTGCCGAGTCCACACCAGGTAAGAATAAACTCAAAGAGTCACCTACAAGCAAGAAAGACCCTGAAAAGAGAGCACCACAGGAAACCAATCAAGAACGTGGTAAGAGTGCAAGAGCAGAAAAGGCTACTAGTCCCCCCGAGGATTCTAACAAAGTTAAACCTACAAATCAGGGACGGAGAAGACCAAGATCCCAGTCCAAAAGGGGCGGACAGAACGAAGGGAAATAAGAGCAGGATACAAGACACCGAAACAACAGCACGCCCGTGAAACGTCAGTCTCCGAGATCGTAAATTATGGACACGTGTAGCGTGTTAAGGGTATAGCACCGAGCCAAGGTGACAAAGATTTTTTAGAGAAAGTGAATTTTTTTTATTAGTGAGATGCAGGTGGTAGAAAATGGGTACTTGATTTTATAGAGCAGCAAACCTGTGTGTGACCTATTCTTGAGCTTCTTGTGTTCCTTTATCCCTTAAAACCACAATATTATTCAAATTCTCCACACTGGTCTCTTTACAATTCTTTTGATACTGACGTGGAGAATATGTTTAACAGTCGGGATAGCTTCTTACATTGGTGATTATTTCCTTTGTTCTCACGTTCTTTACATTTGATTCAAGGGTGATATTGTAAGGAGAAATTAGAAACCAGTCACTCTGAGGAGTTAAATGGTTAAGTGCATGCTATTGCGTTTTCTTTGTACTCCTTTCGTAGCAGACATACAATAACTCATTGTTGATCACTCAACAATGTTCTAGTAATAGAACACTGCTGATAGTTCATGACTTTTAAAAATTTCGTCTTACAGAAGCGATGGTAGAACTGATTTCTTTTTTTGTTGTTAACTAAAGCACTCGACTTTTTTCCTAGTTTGATTCAACAAAGTAATGGCACTCACGAATTTGCAGATTCTAGTTTTATTCTTAGTTATTGAAAAGTTCCTAGTGTTAACTCGTGAAAAGCTTAGCTCTGGTGACAAATAACTAAACATTTTCACACGTTATGTTTTATCTTGCAAGAAATAGGGTTTTATTAAACGACGATTACAGCGGTCTGCCGCCGGCCTATAAGAACTCTTATTGTCGTCTGTTGAGCCTGCGAGCAGGCTTTCTTGTTCGGGTCTCGCCGTATAACCCTTAACACCCTGACACCAGTATGCATATTTTCCACACTATTCTTTACACATTACCTAAGGTGCTGATAAAGATAATTTGTTTGGTAATGAAAAGATTCCTTCCCTGGTGACCATTTCCTCTAATCTCTTGACCTTAATGTGTGATTCAGGACTGATATTGTAGGGAGAAATCAGATGCAAGTCACTCTTAGGTTTTAAAGGGTTAATACTGCCTTTTTAGTAAGCACAGCCGCCTATTACACCATCGGCAGCCGCTTATTATTGAAACCTTGCAAAAGCTATTCCAAAGAAACAATTCCAAATTCCCCCCCCCCAAAAGAAAAAACAAAGAAAGCAAATCGACTATCTTACACAGCCCAACTAATTTGAACGTGAACACCGACTGACTCCATTAGTACAATCGCTGACTACCGCTCAAGGGAATTTAAATGTAATGCGTCGATCAATTCGAAGCTTCAATAACTCTAGCCCCACACCGCGGGTAACTCCCGGGCATACTGGTTTTTTCAAACGCCCGCCTCCGGGCAACAATTGTGTTCAAATGCCCCACTCGATTTTTTATGTGAAACGCAAGAAAAAGCGACCGTGACTTTCCACATACTGACAAGCTTTAAAAGCTACGCCATGCTATTCGCTCGCGAAACTGAACTTTTTATTATTACCTTAGACACCTCCATATTTAAATATACAACAATCGCATTCCGTAGGATAGACTTGCCACATTCAAATTCCCCACTCCTCGGGCAGGGAACAACGGTCAAATACCCGGGAGGATGTTTTAACTTTGAATTAATCGGTCCATAACCACTTACATTTTAACTCAGTCTGAGGGTGCATCTTTTCACTGTTTTGTATACTTTTCCGATGATACTTGAGTTGATGACCAAATCCTTTATTCTCGTGACCTCAATATTTAACTCGGTCGTGATACTGAATGATTGATTTATCCGGAAAAAAAAGGAAACCCGACGCTTGCTCAGATCCTTTTCTTTTTATTTGAACTATGTATTGTACCTCAAGAGGAAGGTGTCAGTGAAGACCTTTTTAGTTCACGATTTGACGATGAGTCCGTTAGGAGGTGATCGTTAACGAACCGACGGTGATTTCAACACATCGTTAATCTCCGGATGTTGTCGACTTAACCTTAAGGTTGACGAACCGACGGTTACTTAAGCACATTGTCTTTCTTCGGATTTAATCTACCGACGGTGAATTCACCACATCGTCCTTCTCCGGACGGTATCGACTTGTCTCGTAGTTGACGAACCGACTGTGATTTCAATACGTTAGTCTGCGGATGCAATCGACTTGGACTCGTGCTAGCATGACGGCGCTTACGTCATCAGAAACCGCAAAATGTCAACTATATTTTTTGTTTGTGCAAAAGTGAGTGACGACATTCTGACATTGTGTAATGCTACTAAAATATCCGTGGTTCGACAACTAGAGTCTAAGTCGATTACATCCAGAGTTTGATGATGTGTCAAACCGGAACGGATCAATTTTTATCTACCGAGTTGATAATGTAAATTGGCCACCGTAACCAAATTCTATAGCTGACATTTCGAGCGTTACCCGTTCGTCCTTCGCTTTGAGAAGACAAACACTTAGAATTTGAGCTTTAGAAACTCTTTACAGTGGCCAATTTGCATTTCATTAACGCAGTTGATAAAACCAACTCGTCTTTTTATACCCCCTACGACGCAGACCACAGTTTCTTTAGAAACTTATCCCCTTTAATCTTATCCAGTGACTTCTCACTTCCTTAACGATCGCGTGTACGTCAAGTGTTAAGTCTTAATAAAACCAGACACTGATCCCTCTAATCTGCGATTTTCCCTTGTCAAACAAACTTCATAAAAAGATTTAATTATCCTCTGTTTACTTAATGAAATCGTTCCAGGCTTCAATCACTAATTTACACAATTCTTTCGTTGCTACAGTAAACTATGTTATAGTGGGTACATTAATATTTGGAAGATGTTATGATGGCGACAAGTTCTTCCCGGGAACAGAAGTCAAAAAATAACGTACGAAAATGTTACGTGAAAAATGAGTGTCCCTTTGGAGTAAGTCGGGGCCCTGTGACAACGCATAAACGTGATTTTGCGGAGGTCGACAATCACAGACAGCGAGCGCTGGTGGGAAAAGTGAAAGATGCCTTTCGGACAATTTCCTTTCGTTCAGAGCCAACAATTGGCGAGGACGATTTGGTTACCAGACGCAATTCACTAACACCCATCAGTTTTCGAGTTAACAGCAGAAATAGTTACGCTTTGGATGCCAAGAAACGCCATGAACTTGTTCAGAGTCTCGTACCCAAATGTTATGAGCATCTTCAGAATTTTCATCACTATCGAAACGATATGGAAAGATTGAACTCGGGGTGTAAAGTTTTGTACCTCTCTGCGAAAAACGGAGATAAAGTTGGAGAGGAGAAAGAAGTTCAAGGAGTTTATGGTCAAGCTTCGGTGAAAACCGAATGTTGGCCTCTAAGGCGACGGAACGGCCATAGTCCAAATGCAAGAAATTTAAAAATGCCTCGTAAACCTACATCAACGGCGGTAGCTAAGGAGTCCAAAAAGGATTCTGCACTCTCACCAAGACGCGATGTTAACGTCTCTAAAACTAAGCAGTCTAACTTGAGTAGCGTGTTGAACTGTTCCGAAGCAAAATTAAAAGCGAACGATTCCAAAGGAGGTTCAGGAGATTATTCCAAACTGGCTTTTGGCAATGGAGTAGAGAGATTGGCGCCTCGTGAATGTGAGAGCCGTAGAGGGAGCGGTGAAGTGCCTTCTGTTAAGCTTGAGGAAGATATCAGCATTGTTGAATCGCCAGGTGTTCACCTCATGCACAGCTCTGACAGTGCAGTTAGCGATATTTCACCACATCCCCCCATGACAACGCCGGAGCTTGACATTTCTAGAAGATCTTCCGTTCGTACTCTGGTTTTCGAAAGTCAAGATGAACTTGATGCAAATAGTGGAAAAAATCCATCGTCTGTGCAAAGAACTGCTAACAAAGATTCGAAGCACAGCCCTCACCTTCTTGCCCCGTTTCAATCCAGATTTCCACATCTGAAATGTTCCGAGTTGGCGAGTTCTCAAAACCGACAAAAGAGAAATGTAACCGCTTTGATTCCACCATGGCAACAATATCGTATTTTGTGTGACGCATTTCGGCCTAATCAACAGCAGAACTCGCGTTCGAACGGGTACAAAAAGCCCAAGTTTGCCACAACCACCGAGCTGGAATATTACATCGAGATTGTTTCTGAAACGAACGATAATTGTGGATTGTATTTCTAGAGAATTTTGGTAAAGTTTTCAATAATTGTTCACAGGAACCTGTATAGTTTATAGTGTATGTGAGGACAAATAGACTTGTGTAAAAAGCGGAGCGAACGATATCAACGTAAATTATGATGAGAGGTTTGTTATCCACATTCAGTGTCTCTGTTATTTTATTTTTTTTTTTTTTTAATTCCGTTTCTCTTTCTCACTCTTTTTTCACTATGCCCTGTAATTGGCTTAGAAATCTCGCGCCATTCTTTCAACCAGTCGAACGCAAGACTTAAGCAATTGCGCCAAACGTCATTCCTTTTTTTTCCTTGGCGCTTCACGCAATAGAAAATTATTTTTCTTCACTGTGAGATCTCATTGGCTCTTTATGACACTTACTTTTTTCTGGCTGTACGTTTTACAACACAATCTAACTTTGCTCAACCAGCGCAAAGTGATAGTTTCAGGAAACATTGTATTTACACCCAATTGCGGGGACGCCGTAGGAAAACCCAAATATCGAAAAAGAGGAAAAACCCAAACAAGATATCGAGTAACATTTAAAACTATCCTCTAGCTATATGCCCGACAGTCGAACAGAATTTCCACAGAAAAATTATTTTAAACCTCATGGGAGTCTCAGATGTTATTTAGAAATTTCGATTGATTACAAATATTAAAAAACGAAATCTATATTCTAATGCCTTATTCTTGTCCCACTTGCCAATTAATTCTATTTATGCGACTTCATAGTACTTTTATAACACTATTTGCCAATACTAGGGGTGTATAGTATAATTTTTTTAAAGTATTCATCGATAATAAGCCATATCGTTTTATGCTACTTTTTTCAATTTTTGTCCCGCTAAATATAAAAAAAAAAAGATCGTTCCTGATCATTTTTATGATTTTGTCAATCCTTCCACTCGCAAACTACCACAGAAAGAAATTTCTCCCACTGAAATCTAAACATTTTAACTCTTTACACCCTAATATCAATATGCATATTCTCCATACTGTTCTCTATACATTTCTTAAGGCGCTGACAAGGAGAATTTGCTTGGCAGTCGCGGGCTTCTGTAGTTGTGGATCATTTCCACAATTCTCATGACCTTAACTTTTGATTCAGGTGTGATACTGTAAGGAGATTTTAGTTGCTGGTCATTCTTAGGGGAGAAAGGATTAAAGCAGAAAAGTAATGCGAGGAAATAATATTCTGACAGACGTTAGGGATTTAATGTTACATGTATTTCATTAAAGACCAGTTGCGCTCTTACAGCTAAAATTGCAAGAAATTTATGACAGCCGAGGATAAAGATTTCTCTTTAGATCTTGACTGTAACACAGTTTAACTCGGGATGTGTTTGTTGCACGTGTCGCGGATCAAACTATTGCGTAACATGAGAAATATCAGCGAGGAGAATGAGGCATGAACTGTGTGTATTATTCCAAAAAGAGCCATATGCTCTTTTGTCATTATCATTTTTTTATACGATCTCACACGTAAGGATATATGTTTGTATATATTTTTCAATTATTGTTTTTCACGAACGTTTTTTTTTTCCTGCTCGTGGATAAGACCATATCAAGTGGTATGGTTAGGGTTAGGGTATATTTTCCAAGTTAAAAGTGTTTCGAAGCTTTCCCCGACCGAAATAGGCGTGGGAACATACCTTATGTCTGTGGCGTGCTTCCCATTGCGTGTTTGTCAAAAACGTTTTTACCTATAGACCTCAACCGAACAAAGAAATCCAAGAAATCTTTGTAGCTATTCTGATTCAGCTCGTAAACATGAAAAATAATACAACAAATGTGTTAATTAGAGTAGAGAGAAGCCAGACATATTGATATATTTTTCATTAGTGTAGGAACAACATCCATTTAAAGGTCAAAATGTGGTGTTGGTCAGTTGTCATTTACAACTGTATTGAGGGAAAACGTTAAATGTAAGGCGAAAACTATCATGAATTTAAGTATTCCTTCATCTACCGAGTCTGCACTCATGGGAACTGAATGTGGTTTGTCGAATATTCTGCAAGGAAATATTGACCACACAAACACAATAACATACGTAACTGTCTCTTTCCTGATCGTGTTAGCCATAGCTACGTGTCTACTGTGTAACTGGTAAAAGCTGAGAAAATAGGCGTTTGTTGAGGAACTTGAAGAAAAAAACAAGGCAGCTGGAGAATGATATTGCATAACAGCGAGATGTCTTTTTAATGAGCTGGTTTCGTAAAGCCCTTGTCAGTTATCCAACTCAGTTACAGAGCCTTTCGTTTTGAACGGTCAGTGCAATATAATCTCCTCCTACATGACAGAATAAGAAAAATATTTTATTGTGCATGCGTTTCTCAAAACACCCGTAGAGTTAACGGGTGCAGAAACCGTCACGAAGAGCGCCCGAAAAAAGGTCCGGTTGTTCCTTAGAAAATTTCGGCCCGAGAAAATTAACTGCGCAAATTGTTTCAAAAACTCGAGCGACTGGGGCGATCGATAATATGGAAACAAGGCTTAAAATTAACGATCTCCATTAGGGCTTAAGTTCATCCTGAACGACCCTCCCCCGTATTTGCCTTCATAATGTTATGTAACGTTGAATAATGCGTGTGCAATTGGAAAAGGTGATGGAGGCAGGAGGGATTGGGCCTGAGAAATCGCATAGGTTCACTCTTTTTTTTTTTTTATCTACCTGACAGAGGGAGATCTGAGTACGACGTAACATGGGATTCGTGACCGTGCTTAGAAGTGACTTATAGTCGATAAAAAGAGAATGTCTCGTTATGATATATATATGCCTTATTGACCGAGCGTGAGGTCAAGATGGCTGGATAGTCGCCGAATTTTTTTTTTCCCGTTGCAATGGATCGAGACGAAGTCGAGGTCCATAAAAACGGGAAAAAGAACAAGGCCATTATCCAGCCGTCTTGACCAAACAAGTTTGGTTAATAAAGTATTTACTATTAAGAAAAACAATTTCGGTTTATTAAGAATCAAAAATGACTTGTTTATTTCGAGAGCCTGGAAAGAAAGCCATTGTGTTTGTAACACAAGAAACCCACAAGAGTCGTTTATATTTCTCTGATTTAACTGCACTGTCTTCTGCCGACTTTTGCGACTCCATCGCCGTCATTTTCCAAAAATTAGGAACCTTATTAGTCTGCCCCGAGCAACTTTATTTCTTGCGCGGGATCAAAGTGGGCAATCCCGAACGGGCAAATAGGCCCACCTTTCCCGCTTGAGTAGCCAATCAGAACAAGGGATTCGCCTCTAAGTGCATGCTCAAGGGCGCTGCCCGTGATATGATATATGGCTTAACAAAGAAACTAGCATCAGGAGGCTTTGGATCTCTTAAAATTTATTGTAGCCTTTAAATTACTTCTAGCTCTTGTCTCGAGACTTTTTACAACGCCTTGAAGCAAGGTTTAAGTAATACCGTCATTACGAACACTTTAAGTCCAAAGGTCAGCGCAGTAATTTTGTGTTTTTGCTGGTAAAAACTTAGAGCAATGCAGAGCTAAATCAATATACTAGCGTTTTGCTTCATTCCCTGTCCCCTAGGCATTGTATCAATAATTGTAATAGGACTGAGTATAGTAAATTCAAGGAGTAATCAGGTAACTGATTTCAAACTAGCCGAGCGCATGGCACGAGGCTGAATATAAATTACTAGCACGATTCCCCTTGAGTTATACCAAACGAAGTCTTATTACCAATGCAGTTAATTTTGTCAATAACAAAATGCGAGAAACTCAGGAATAAAAAAATTGATGTAAGAACACATACGCCCCTCAATGAAACACGTTTCTATTCCGTGGGGACCTCGCGACTTCCTCACTTAAGAATTTTTCTTTATTTTGATCAGCTAACATTGTCTAGGTAATTGATGGTCTGGCTGCTGAATTGCTTAACTTTCATCGGCTGCTTGTCATCGGATAGGTGAAAGGGAAATCGGACAATTTGGACTGAAAATAGCCATTTAAGTCACAAATAAGGGCTGTTAATAGCCATTCATGTTCAAGAATCTTGTTATGGACGAAATTAACCCTTTCAACCCCTAAGGAGGGTATCATCTTATTTCTCCTCACGTTATCACTGCTGATTCAGACATGAAGGTCACGATAATAGAGGAATTGATAGGCTGCTGAATAACCAGTTCTCCTAACATTTGAATCAGATCTGTAGAGAGCGTAGCAGGGAGAATATGCATGCTGATGTCAGGATGTAAAGGGTGATATCACGGAAAGAAGAACTGATTCATAACGAGTATTATGTGCCATTTTAACCAAGCAATCGTCTAAATTTAAGAGACATAAAATAAGTTTTAATTAAATATTTAATTCAAATAAATAAATTTATAAATATTTCAAAGGCACAATTCAGTGCATAACTACCCACTGCATTTTTTTTAAGTCAGTAGAACCAGTACGCGGTCGTATGCAGCTAGAGAGGGTAGACACAAAACCATAATTGACACTTTTGCCATGAACTTGAGGAAAGCAACTGATCAAACAGTCTACCCAACTAACTTGAAAATACTAAAACAACTAGCACACAATGAAGGCTCAACATCATATTTTGCGCTCTGAAATATTTACAACTTGCAATCCGCTATTTGATTGCTGGAGAACTGTAAAAAGTTGGATGCTGTCGAATATGACCCACTCATTAATTTTCGCGCGATTTTATAGGCTTCTCTGGTGCAAAATCACAAGACGGTTAACACGCTATAACTCCATCTTCGACTATGTTTGTCTGACGATTATTTCCGAAAAGAAGAGAAAGAAAGCCAAAAGGAAAAAGGGCCAGCTCGAGAGTTTCACTTTATCATCTTTATTACTTTACATGAAAAAAAAAACAAACTCGTTTTGTAGAGACCAGTGATAATGACCTCAAATTCTGCCCCGGAAAGCAAAAAAAGGTTAACAAAATATGCCGTCAACGCGCGGTATAAAAGTTAACGAGAGGGTTATAGAATAAATTGACTCCCCTCTGTCTCGGCCCTTGGCCGAGAGATTGTCCTCAAAATTTCACATTTTTCCTCGAAGCTTTACTTCATGGCCAAATATTTATTTTTCGGACAATCTCCCGGCCGCAGACAACATCTATACCTGTCTCCTTCGGGGGTTTATTTACTAAATATTTTGCAAAGCGTAAGTTATGA